CAGTTTTTTTCAAATTTTCTTCGATTTTATAGTTATTTGGGGGTTTCTTATTGAATTGAAGCAAAATCATGATTGGCAACTTTTATTGCTGGAACACAGCAAGCGATTAAAAAGTCGACAATTTGCCTAGCGTGACCTACTAATTTCTTGTCAATTTTACGCTGTTGGTTACATGCACATGCTGTAAGCCTTTAATGAGCCATGTCTTTGAACATCATAAAATATTCTGTGTGCTAAAATAATGTCCACACAAACTATTTTCCCTGTTTAAAGAGTTTTTAGCTTTCAAATATAGTAAAATATGCTGCTTTGTTATTCAACTCAACGTATTTGCAATATAAACATGTTCCTTGCGTGACGTAAGAATGGAGAATGTAGAACGGGGAACAGGGAAGTGGGAACGGGGCAACAGGAGTCTGGGACCGAAATTACTGAGCGCCAGATTTGAGCGAATCCTTTTCGAACCCGGACGTAAAAGCAATCAGCATGGATGAAAAATGAAGTTTTTTTTTCAATGGTTTTAACTTGAACTTTAGCTTCAAATTCATAGCAGTCATAGTATGATCATGATTGCAGAGCAAATTGACCATGGATGGCAGGCTACCTTTGACACATGCCTTTAATCGAGGAATTTTTATTTTCTAAAGCTGAAACATTTTTGAGCCCCACAAATACAGAAGGTGCTGTAAAAAAAAATAAAAAAATGGAATATCCCAGTAAGCTTTTCATCACGTGTCCTTAAGTCGTAATTCTTTCAAGGTAGTACAAAGTCACAGTCTTCCATCAATATTTTTTTCAAGAACACGTAAATACCTAGCAATAACCAAAACCATTCTGGATTTCCCTGTTCAGCTATTATCTCTAAAGCTACTGGACTTAGGTATTCGAAATGTATATTCTACATAACACGGATTAGCTACAAATTGAAGTTAAATCATAATAATAACGAAAGAAATTTTCACTGTTCTTATCACAATGACGTAGCATCAAGAATCCCTCAGGAGACTAATCCAAGTTTCGTGAGTTCTTCGGTGAGTAACACGTATGATTGGGTCCAAAACTTTTCCAGTCAAAGACAAATGCCCTAACCACCCCCACCACCCTGATAAAAACGCAAAACCGTTTACCGCTATTGAGTAACTGCTCTTTCTAATGGCATTACTCAGGTTTCTGTTATTTTAACACGGATCGCCAACAAAGTTAAAAGACCTTAGCGAAGAGAATTTTTTCATCGTTCATCGTTCTTTTAATAATGACGTAACATTAGGGTTGGAGACTTTTTTATAGTTTCATGAGTTTTACACACTCCCTCACTCATGCCCATTATGCCGTGTGGCACGTAGGGCGGCTTTGTGCTGTTTCCGTAACATGGGTGTTTCACGGACAGGTTTGTTAGCTCTATGCCCAACCCCCTAACCTGGAGGACCAGTGGATCGCGCTTCGTTGGACCTCTACCCTTCGATCTGTCCAGCTTGGGTGGCCCTACCAGGAGACGAAGCTCCTGCGGGCACAGCTCTAGAGGTTTCCGAGGCACTCTAGCCCGCCGACCACGACAAGGTTTTGATCCTTCGGGCGCTGTGAGTTTTACAGACGGTAAATTATTTTTATTACGTATATAATTTAGTCCAAAACTTTGCCAGAGAAAAACAAGAGCAAATTCCCCAGCCACCTCCTCTCCCTCACCTCCAAAATAGGTTAAATGTGATTAAAGTTCGCATAGAATCAAGAATGACAATAATTTCTTAGCGTATTAGGCGACAAGGATTTATGCTTCCTCTTAACAAATATTTGTATTACCAACTCCGCGTGCTCATGGTAACATTTAAAAATACGTACATTATCAAGTTACGAAGCCTGAAAATAACAAACTTACCTTCACATATAGAACCATTCCCAATAGTATAGGTAGGATTGCAAGAAGAGTAGTATGAGCCCTGGGTATTAACGCAAGAGGCATTAAGATGGCATTTGCTCATTTTGACGCTATAAACCTTACTGCAATCGTCAATTTCTAGAAGAGAACGCCCTCAGTTGAGAGATGTGGCAAAGATTTGTAATGAGCAAAGAGCAAGTTAGAACCGAGTAATATCTAGCACCCTTCATAGTTTTCGTATCAGCAATGTAGTAAGTGTTCAGTGTGGGGACAGTGGAAGAAAGACGGAAATTCTTTCGGTCGGTATTTTTATAAAGGAATATATAAATTTGAAACATTTCTCTCTGCGTGAACCAAAATTATTGCCACTTTTACTCGAGAACCAAGCTCAAGATCAGTTTTTCTTTTCTAAATAAAGGAATTCATGATCAGCCACTAAACTTAGCTTACTTACATTTGCTGAGTACAGTCAGCCTTTTTTTCTCCGGTGATCGCGAAAGACATAAACCTTACAGAACTAGAGTCTTTCATTATCTCGTATTAGTTAAAAAGATATATCACCATACCTATTTCGAATGCAACATTAATAACATAAAAAAGACACGGGAAAAGGAGATCATATCAGCCTTTCTTCTGATCCATCTGAAATTCCTGATATTCTCAATAAACAGTTTGCTTCTATGGGGAATAAATTGGTATCAAAAATTCCAAATTCTGCAGAATTTTCCCATTAGCTGCCTAAACATTCGTTCTAGGAATCTTTTGCCTTTAATTCAGTTTTGCCCGGTGAAGTTGAACAAGAAATAAAGTATCCTCCAATGGATAAAGCGTTAGGCTTGTATTCTTGCCCTATTAGAATTCTTAAGGCTGCTAGTCGGCTTGTTTCTAAGCCCTCGACTCTAATTATGAATAACTCGATCGAAACCGGTACATACCCTTCGAAGTTAAAGCATGCTTAAGTTATCGCAGTTTTCAAGAGTGAGGATGACTTGGTCCTGAACAACCACAGGCCAATCTCCCTCTTGTCATTATTTAATCTTTGAGAAACTCATGTATAATCGGTTAAAAACTTTTGTGGATAAACACAATATGTTGTACCATCATCAGCATGGTGTTCGGGAAAAATGCTCCACACAGCATGCACTTATTGGTACTGTCAACAGAATCCAGCTCAGTGATGATAAGAAGCTATTCTGTTGTGGTATTTTTATGGATCGAAAGAAAGCATTTGACACAGTCAACCACTCAATCCTAATGCAAAAACTCGAACATTACGGAATCTGTGGAGTAGTAAATATCTGGT